GGGGGGGGGGGTAAAAATATCACTGGGTAGATGAGCACTGGGCCATCCTTTTCATATGGGGGACCCCCACCCCCAGGAGAAATACTACAGACTATTCCAAGCTTTCACCCAACCCATTCTCTTGGTGAACGTCTTAGAAACCAACAGCTCTATGATTTGTAAATTGTAGGCTTCGTGCAAAAAGGTAAACAGAATATTCTTAAATTTCGTTTCAAGGTTGAAGCAGGAAGTAGCGTTCTTGACGCAGCAGCTGTCCAGTTCTGTGCAAGAAAGGTGTCTGCCATGGCTGGCGACATGAGGAAAGCTTTAGACATCTGCAGGTAACCAAATGAAAACAACTGTGCCCAACATTCTTGCATTTCTTAATCTGATAGTTCTGACTAGTTTTATGATCTAAGTCTTTCAGACAAAATGTTCTGTTGAGATTAGGTGAATGAGAGAAACACAGATAAGAAATTATCTAACAGAGTTTCAAATTTTACCACCTAACTACATTAATGTAGACACAGATTCTGACAGATATACATGTAATAGAGACCTACTACTGTAAGTGGTGGTTTGCGTATTTGAGTCAAGATCGTGTGGTCTACGTTCAAGCACTGGTTGGTGCATTTATTGGGTTCTTAGGCAAGACACTTTTCTCTCAGTGTCTCTCTCCACTCAGGTGCATAAATGGGTTCTGGCAAACTGTTAACACCACAATAGCAGGGGTTAACTAAATGATTACAAATTTAGGATTCCTAGAATTGAGTAATTACATCAGCACTGTTTTAGACCCATGATATATATTGAAATTAATTATTAAGGTTTTCATTATTTGGGTTAAAAAGTTTTCCTGAGATTATATTTCTGATGATGATGATGATGACAAATCTTTAAAATTTGCTTTCAGGAGAGCAGTAGAGGTATTAGAATCTGGAGAAAGAAAACAACAGGTTTTGCAACCAGTCAAAAAAGGTAATTTCATTGATCCAAATGATTTGGATACTTAACGCTAGAGTTTGGCTTACAATAGTTTGTATAGTGTGATTGTCTGGGTGAGGGCAGTTCTGAAAAGAACTGTTGTTGGTGACTGATGTTTTGACAACCTGAGCAGCAGTCATCTTCAGAGTCAAGTGAACAGTGTTTGTCAGGCGATGGTGTTATTGGTCTGGTCTGTTGAAAGTGATTGGTCAGTTTAAAAAATGAACTGTCAACATTACTTTTTTACTTACCGTTAATATTTTTTCCCAATCAGCTGAATCTCCATGCAAAAGAATGGAAACTCCACAAAAGCCTAAAAAGGTTGGAATCTCCCAAATTGCCAGTGTCGTAGCAGAGGTTTATGGATCTCGTCTGGTGGCAGGTCCTGGCGTGGAACAGCCAACGATCCCATTACAACAGAAGCTTCTTATTTGCACCTTCCTGTTGATGACAAAAGAACGGAACACTAAAGAGGTTGTGTTAGGAAAGGTAAACAAATTGAGGAAAAACACTTTTACTTTGGGGTTGGCAGACAATAATTTATTATCTCTCTGTTTTTATGCATTATGGAGCTATGCTAGTTACTCTGTGTTCATTGTAGACTGGCATATAATCCTTGACTAGAAAATTATATAATAATAATAATAATAATAATAATAATAATAATAAAAAGGTTCTGATTGTGCATTTAGAATTCTCAATGCGCTTACAATTGCATAAGATTAAAAAGAATAAAAACCTAACTAAAAGATGCAATTATTAAAATCTATGACTAGGTTAAAATTCTGCAAGCATTGCAGAACTATGATGCTGACTACAATATTTAATGATTCCAGAAAATCTCCATACCCACCCCTGGGAGGGTTCTTGTTCAAGCCATAAAGCCCTGAGAAGTATGGATGTTTTCTGTCACAACATATAATCGTGTAGATGTTAACCTCGTGTAAATGATTTCTTTCTTTACAGTTTCATGACACCTACTGTAAAATATGTATCAGACGAAAGGTTTCACAGCTTGGCCAGGAAGATTTTCTTGGACTCTGTAACATCCTGGAAACCAGAGGACTTCTCGGCATAAAGAGAGCTAAGGATACAAGATCAATGAAGGTAAGTTAGCAACTCAATGATTTGCTTTCAGTCAACTGTCATATTTTGATCTATTAAATAAGTTTTTAAGCTGATGGAGTTATTAAGAGTTTGAAGACAAAAGTGACTACTGGGCAAGGACCTACCTCAAGGTAATCAGGAAAATAACTAATATTTAAAAATTTGTCTTTTTGCATCCAGGTGACACTTAAAATAGATGAAAGAGAGGTGGACTATGCCCTACAAGACAAAACTTTGTTGTCCAGTATTCTTCAAGAAGGAATGCCAACTGCTTCAAAGAACTAAATATTAAATAAGTGTTGTAGAACGTTTGTCAAAAAGAAATTTTCTGTGTGTGCAAAAGTGGTCTGATCACAGAACTTAAACACGAAGAGACCAATCAACTTTACAGAACTTTAAACCAAGGTTAAATGTGACAATTTGATCATTCTCATTAGCAGTTTGCTGAAACAACTTCTAACAGGCAGAAATTTTATCTTTAATATTTAGGCTTTTCTTGTCTCAGTAGCCATGCACATTAAACTGTAAAGTTGATGTGCATGTGAACTTATCCTCTTATATATACTAAGTTAAGACATAAACATGTTAAAAGCTAAAGACAAGAAAACTGCAGAAGCGTTAAAGTATTATCAATAACATAAGCACGCAATGCGTGCAAAATGCTGCTACTACAAAGCCTTTGCATGCATTGCGTGCCTGTAATTCAACATCGGTTGTAAGATCTAGCATGATAGGCCCGCAATGCATGCGTGGAGAGAGCTAAAGATACATATCTACCAGTGGCCCTTTGCACACACTGTCAAGTGTATATGTGCCCATGATTCTAGCTACATAATATATTATCATAGTAAATGGTCATAATATATTATGAAGTATCCCTTAAGACATAACTTAGAAAACTGTTGTCTAACCTAGCTTAGATGCTGGTATATGATAATTTAAACACCACTTTTTTTGGTGTACTTCTGAGCTTTTTGATCTGAATGACTGCCAGTTAAGTTTCTTTAAAATAATTATGGCTCAATTATTTTTGTAGATTTGTACATATTTTATACCACACACTAAATACTTACTTACTATTTTTAGTAACAACTTAATTTGGGAAGTTTGGTAGTACCATTAAAATTTACTAATTTTAAACATCGCTAGAAGGAAAACTGCTAAGTAGTTTTAGCTGGGGTCAGCAAAATCAGTCTAAAAATCAAACAAGCTGTAAAAGTAAACAACAAAATTTGGTTGTCACTACAAATAGTAACTTTATGGTATGTGAAAGCTAAGCTTTCTTAACATTGTTTGATAAAATGCTTCAGTTATCAGTCTTAATGATATGTACATGAGCCTTGCAGAACATTTAGGATTCAAATTTTGAAAGCTGCTTTATTACAANCTTCTAACAGGCAGAAATTTTATCTTTAATATTTAGGCTTTTCTTGTCTCAGTAGCCATGCACATTAAACTGTAAAGTTGATGTGCATGTGAACTTATCCTCTTATATATACTAAGTTAACTAGACATAAACATGTTAAAAACTAAAGACAAGAAAACTGCAGAAGTGTTTAAGTATTATCGACAACAAGCACGCAATGCATGCAAAATGCTGCTACTACAAAGCCTTTGCATGCATTGCGTGCCTGTAATTCAACATCATTTATAAGATCTAGCATGATAGGCCCGCAATGCATGTGTGGAGAGAGCTAAAGATACATATCTACCAGTGGCCCTTTGCACACACTGTCAAGTGTATATGTGCCCATGATTCTAGCTACATAATATATTATCATAGTAAATGGTCATAATATATTATGTAGTTTCCCTTGAGACATAACTTAGAAAACTGTTGTCTAACCTAGCTTAGATGCTGGTATATGATAATTTAAATGCCACTTTTTTTGGTCTACTTTTGAGCTTTTTGATCTGAATGACTGCCAGTTAGGTTTCTTTAAAATAATTATGGCTCAGTTATTTTTGTAGATTTGTACATATTTTATACCACACACTAAATACTAACTTACTATTTTTAGTAACAACTTAATTTGGGAAATTTGGTAGTACCATTAAAATTTACTAATTTTAAACATCGCTAGATGAAGAACTGCTAAGTAGTTTTAGCTGGGGTCAGCAAAATCAGTCTAAAAATCAAACAAGCTGTAAAAGTAAACAACAAAATTTGGTTGTCACTACAAATAGTAACTTTATGGTATGTGAAAGCTAAGCTTTCTTAACATTGTTTGATAAAATGCTTCAGTTATCAGTCTTAATGATATGTACATGAGCCTTGCAGAACATTTAGGATTCAAATTTTGAAAGCTGCTTTATTACAACATTGTATTTTGTAAAATATTATTTTTATTGAGGATTTAATTTATTGATGTAGATAAGTTTGCAACGTTCACAATAAAGGTTTTTAAAGCCATTTGATTTTATCATCAACTATTGTTTCCTGGGAAGGGATTCCAAGGGGCAGACTATCATGTTAAGGATAGTTGGATGTTTGTTGGAGAATTGAAAACTCCTAAGGCAGGCCAATCTCTGTACATTGCCACAAAATTTATTCGAACTTTAAAAGATGCCATTCTATTAAGCTACAGACAATTACCAGATCAGTCAGTGTAAAACACAGACTGTGGACTGCATACTACAGACTGCAGACCAGGTACAATGTAGACTGAGGGTAACATGCAGGCTGCATGCCAGGGGGGTAAAATGCAGACTGCAGACTAGACTGTACAACTGAATTGTGTTACTCAGTAGCAGGTCCAGGTCTTGAGCTAAGGGGGG